GCTCTTAAGTCTAAACCTCCTCCAAAGATAGACATACATGAGCTAACAAACACATCCACAGGAACATACACACACACACTCACAGAGCTTGTTGAAAGGTTTTGATATAACACCATAATGGGCTAATATTGACCTTGGTAGACCATCTCCTCTCTCACAGCTGTCTGAGTACTTGGGTGCCCGGAATTGACCTGTTGATGGTTAACTACACTGATTATGTGTGTGTGTGTGTGTGTGTGTGTGTGTGTGGGTGTGTGTGTGTGTTTTGACTGTGTCCTGGAAGATGCTGAGGAAAAAGGCATTATGAATGTGCGTGTGTGGGTAGTGTGCACAGTATCTGTGTGAGAGAGTGTCCGCTGAATTTCAGATTCCTCAAAAATGAAGCAAATAAATGTTGGTAATGACATAAACCTGAGCTGGACATTAAAAATCCTCACATAAACAACATCCTGTTCATCATTATTTAGCAAATGCACATTTTCAGTATCTAAAAGCTAGTGTTCATACTGACTGCAGAGGTGTGTCATCCCTCGTCTGTCCTCACCTCTACTGAGTTACACCTCTTTGTGGTGGCTCAGATGCCTTTCTCAAGGTGGTGAGCTTTGGTTCCATATCTCCATGAATGTTACTGTCACTGTGACAGTGATAACAGTGTTTGCACGGGTGTGCGTACGGTATATTATAATGGGCCGTATGTCCTTCTGTATATCCTTGCTAAAGAAAACCTGTGAGGTAAGGACCTTGAGTGTACGAATGCATGGATATGTGTTTGATTTCATGCATCTCTCTATGTGCATGTATTTGTCGGCATCACGTGCTTACCCTGAATGGCTCCTCCCCCCTGACAAAAGTCCACCATGTCTAGCACAGTTTGTTTGCCCTCTTTTCTCTGTCTGTTTCTCTGACACCCGTTTTTTCAGATTCTTTCCTCCCACTTCTCTAATATAGAGTATGAGCTGTTTCTAGTTAATAAATGTGCTCAAGCTGTTGTCAGCTTTGTCCTCTTTTCTTGCTCTTGGGGCCATAGCCTCCAGTATAAATAGTTCTAACTTCCCAGAGCAATGATCAGCATTACAATCGCTGTCATTGGTTGGAGTTTTGTTTTTGGACTCTAATTGGAAAGTTAAAGTAGGGGGAAATCATAGTGGCAACCAGCAGAAGTCCTGAGTGTTGGCCATATTCAGAGAAAGAGAGGGAGGGAGCGAGAGCACAAGCATGTAGATAAAGGGGGAGAGGGAGACTAGACCAATAGGGTGAAGGAAGGGGGGACTGGGGAGAGAATAAACAGAGAAGTTACTGAGCAGTGGCTATTCACCTATTCATGGAGAGCAACTCTTTGCCAGTTGACTGAGCTCGTGGCCCCACCGCAACCCATCCCCACTGTCTCTCATTTGCTGCTTTTCTTTTTGTTTTTCCTCACTCAAGTGGTACCAGTGAACAAAAGCAGCTTTTTCAGGACAGTTGTGTCAAGGGTATGATGCTTAGGAATGCCTTACCAACAAAACTACAGCAGGTTTGTTCACATACACACGGTCCTGTAAAGATATCCTCATACATTAAAGTGTAATAACATATACTGGGTAAAATCAAGTAATAGAAAGAAATAGAAATAGATTGTTGAAGCAAATCAGCATATGATTCATCCTGGCATCTGTTATGCATTTAGGTTTTATCACAGCTACATTTTTATCCAATATATTATCTCACTCGTTCCTGAAACCTCAACTAATACCAGACTGCATGTACATGTAACATAAGAGACTGATAACAATGTTTTGTCTTTATCTCACTGAGACGTAGTACTATGTAAAGACTGCTCATAGTGCAAAATAGCCTTAATTTAGGGACACTAAAAAAGAACTGCTGAACTTGTGGAAATGCAAAATAAAGTAATTCATAGGTGACTTTAAATGACACCTGACATAGTAGTTTACTACTCCCTTTTTACTTTTATAGGCTAGGACTAGTTAAGGTAAACTAATTTCCTTCTCTTCCTCCTCTCCTGCAGAAGAAAGTCTTATATTGAGAGAACTTACTTTGTCCTTCTTGGAAAAATTAGCATCTGAGAAAAGAAGGAAGGATTCCATCTCACGGTTTTATCACTTGAGCGACACTGTACGTTGGGCCGACAGCTGTCATTGACACAGTTGGAGGTTGGGCTTTATTATGTAACTGTTGGCACAGCCACATTACATTATTGTGGAAAAAACAGAAACTTTAAAGTTTTATTCACTATCCTCCTGCTGCTGGCACATGATATTGTGTGGTGGGGAAAAGCTAAGCCTTAATAATTAATATTATAGGTCAGTAAACTCTGCAGTAGCCTCTTCAGAGGTGTGTCAGCTGACTTACCAGGTAGGGCAAAAAGTACATTAGCATCCTAGAAATCAGTGTCATAGGTGTGGACGATGATAAACACTGACCCCCACCAAACATACCCCCTGACATTTGTGCACCCTTTTACATAAGCAAAATGACAACAGAATTAATATTGAGAGTCTATTATACAGGGAACGAACCCCATAAAAATTCTTTAAGGTGGGTTGAATGTGGCCTAGCTACACCAACACTGGTGATGCAACACTTTGGCACGCTTGTGGTTGGCCCACTTGGCCTGTGTGAGATGACTCTCTCTGCCTCCAAAGGAGCTCTGTGAGAAACTATGAGAGTATGGTATTAATCACAACCTTTAAGAGACTGCCTGTGTTCAGTGAGAGCTGCAGTGTAAGGTAATCAGAAAAAATAGGTCATATGAACTGTTCAGGAATCCCAAAAGATTAGGTTTGTGTCTCTTTCTTATTGACAAACTAACTCCTTTGACTACATCATTAACTCTCACATTAATTTTTGCCCCTGCCACAAAGCTGGTTGCTACTGAACGCGTCCTCTGAGGAATGTCATTGACACAGACTTTGTTATCTGGAACTGATAAGAGAACACACAAGAGTTGAAAAGCAATCACGTATGAGTAAACCAGTGTGTGATTGTGTCAGTGTGTGTTACTGAACTTCTGTCCTTGCATCACAACATGTAAACGTGAATAGGTACAAACAAAAAAACAACAACAACTTAAAGATGATTTTATACCAATAAACCTATAGTTATAGAGTGTATTTCCCCTTTAAATTAGGGTTGGATCAAGCAGGCATTTACAGGTTGGGATCAGTGTTAGAATGTGTGTGTATTGTGTGGTTCTTGAGATAAAAGCATAGTAGTCTATTGTCCACACAAAGCAGGACTACAAAGAACCATTTTAAGAGCCTGTAATCAAATCCTGTCCTTTTCAGTTGTTTTCTGCACCAGCTCTTTTTTCTTTCTTTCATACTGTGCACAACAACATTTACTTCCACTTCCTCTTCTCCCTTTCTTTACATCATGTTTTACCTTACGCTTCTTGATGAGTACCTTACCAAACATTTGAATCTGGCTTAAATGTTCAGGATTCAATTTATATAAACTATTCTGCTAATGATGCAGGTTATACACTTAATGTCAAATAAATAGCCCTTCAATAATAAATCAAGGGAAATCTAATTGGTATCTTTTACTATATTTGAGTGAATGGAAAACAAAGCTTTTAGAAAAAATAACTTCTCCCCTTAGTCCTCAAGAACAAGCTGTCTGGTTTCCATCATTAGAATAATAATAAGCAAAAGCATAATAATAAATACAAAATTAACAAATGCAAATGGCCTATATTTCTCTATATTTATTATATCTGTAATAACTGCATCTTGTTTTCAAAGTCACACAAAGACTGACTGTAATTTCTTAACAATTCCATTGGAAATTTCTGAGCTGAACTGTTTGATACAAATTGTAATTAAATTATAATCGTGGACAAAAGTCTGAGGCCATTATTTGAGTTCAGATATCGTGTCGAGTTGAGATGTTTTGGACTCATACATTTCCTTGAAAGAAGGGCTACAATCATAACAGGAAAAGCACAGGTGTAACTGATCATTTTAATGATAACTCTGGTCCATTAATCTTGCAATAACTGACTTCTGGCTCGGGGGCAATGGAAGTTGCTAACACAACGCGGACACACCTTTTAAGTTGATATGGCGGGTTTGTTAGCAAACAGCTGCCTGTTGACACATCCAGTAAATACGGAACAACATTAGCATGCCTCCTGTTCCTGACCACCTGACAAATGTAAGTCCAATATTCACTGTCCTTTAGGCTCTTTTTTAGTTTCCACTAACTCTTGAGGAAAACATTTAGCTCTTTAGCTGCTGAATACCTAAGCTACGTCGCTAACTATGTGGGTACTGAGCGTTTTCAGTACTGTAAAATAAAAATATTGATGATAGCAGCTTTAGTTTAATCATTTACACTTGTGCCTTTCCTGCTAGCAAAATGTCTCATGTAAAAAGGTAAACCTGGACCAGTGAATGAATGTTTTATCTCTCCTCAATTACATGTGAAATTATAGTTGCAACATTTTTTTCTCGGAGGCCATTTTGACATGCCGCAGTTGAAAGGGAACAGGTGTAAATATTACAATTTATGATTCCACTTGGCAGCTTTGGTTTCAGCGTCCTGGTAGGGTGCATGGCATGTTTCAGGCTCACTGTCACAAGTCTGACTGGGACACTTACACGGAACAGAGCCATGGTTATGTTATTAATATCACCTCTGTTTTTACTACTTGAACAAGTCAAAGTGCCTCCTGTAAAAAGGCACATTTCAGTGTTAGTAATGAAAAACAACACTTAATAGGCCTGTAAAGTTTGGTACCAGTGCCGGAAATTGACCTTCAATACTTGTAGTCACCCTCTTAATAACACTATATTCTAATATGTTACACAGTACCCCCCGTTATGACACTGTGACACTTGAACTACTTCATGTAACGCAGCGGAGCCGCCAGCACCGAGCTCTTTAAATGGTGCCGCTCGCTGCGCGCTGTCATGTCCTCTTCTGTGATTGGTTGACAGCGGAGGAGGGCGTGTCTGGTTGCGTCATGTCAAACAGAGGGATGAAAGCTTAAGGAGAGAGAGAGAAAGAGAGAGAGAGAAAGAGAGAGAGATTAACAGGGAGTAGGAGGCAGGCGCAGTAGCAGACTCCTATATCCGCCAGACGGGGACGGACGCTGCCAGCTGCTAGCTAAGTTAGCTATAGTAGACAGTTAGCGACTAGCTTCAGAGTCCTAGCGCCTTTACTACATAAGAGGGACTGAGCAAGAGTGTGTGTGTGTGTGACTGTGTGTGTGTGTGTGTGTGTGAGACAGCGTGTGTATCGACGCTTTGAGCGCCCGCTCGGCCGTCCCGAAGTCACTCCGTGTGTACCTGTGTGTGTGTGGGTGTGTGGGTGGGTGTGTGTGTGTGTATATAAACCCCTCATATCTCCTTCCTCTTCCGAGCAGCAGCGGTGTGTCTGTGATTGTGTGTGTGTGTGTGTGTGTGAGTGAGAGGTTAGCAAGCAGAGAAGTTAACGCACACATATAAACACACTCTGATAGTCGGCTGTTTACACTCGGTGTCCGGTTACTTGACAGCGGATTCACATCCTTTACTGACACCGACAGAGCACCAGCATGTGAGTACTGATGGGTAATGTGTGCGTGTGCACGGGTATGAATGGGTCTTGTGCGGGTGTATTGCTGTCATTGAGTGCGTTTGACCTAAACCATTTCCCTTTCCTGGAGTGGCTGCATGTGTAACCCTACTTGCATGTGTCTGGCTGTCAACGTGGTAACAGATGTTGCAAGTGTAAGTCCAACTGTCCTAGCTGCACAGTTGCTGCAGATCTCCATTTACAGACTCGTGTGTCCAGCTGAACCAAACTCTGACTCAAACTGCATTGAAAACTCATTTTTTTTTAAAGTAAATACTGGCTCATGTACTTTCCTAGCTACTCTCTGACGCTTTTTCAGCTCAACTGTGCACACAGACACTTTAACTCCGCATAGCAGTAGTCGCCAAAGTGGGATCAAAGGGCGCTGCGGTTGCTGCAAGAGGTCCCTTGTGAAATTAGGGTCTTTTTCAATGGGGTTTTGTATTAGTAGCCTATGAGCTGGCAACATGACAAAACATGCAGCAAAGAGTGCTTTTGTTACGCTACCCACCTGCAGAATGGGTGGTGAGGTAAGATAAAACACTGGGGCTCCTTTACCTAATGGAGGTATTTAAATGGGAATCCTGGCATTTAGCAACATATGACGCACTTCAGACTGTCCTGCATCTCCTCTGGTGCTTGTGTATAGGAGAGAATAAATATGTTTACATGTTGAAACTTGTAGATTGCATAACTTGCTTGTAAGCTGCTCATAAAATGTTTAATGGCCTGATTTTTCTCACTGCTCTCTCTTTCGCTCTTTCACCTTTGAACCCGTACATGTGTATCTGTTGTGTCAGAATCCTTTGACGGCACAGTTTGTTCATCCTCAAGGCAACCTTTACTCTGCTTCAAACAATGGTACATGCAGAACAGCTGTCCCATCCCAGAGCTCAGGGAGGCCCAGTGGGAGCTGTGCAGTGATCAAACAAAGGACTGTTATCTTCTTCACAAGTCATATGCAGAACTTGCAGTAAGATCCTCTAGCAGAGGTGTGATCAGAGGTACGCAGGCAGAAAATGCAGTCGTCCGCTTTTTGTCTTTGGTTTGTTTAAGTGACTGTAGTGGCCGTGTGTGTTTGATGGGCATGCGCCATTCACTCGTTCACCTTGGTGTTATTACTTGTCACAATAATGTCGAAGTTATCAATTGAAAATGTCCAAGGCAACTGGGAGGCATCCATTATAGTTTCATGATAATGTTGCAGAAGTTTGACTGCTCCCTTTTTTACGAACATACACTTCACCTTGTAAATCTCTAAAGAAGAGATATTTTAGTTCTTTCCCCCCCACAACATTTTTTTTCAAAATTGCTCGACGGCCTTGACTGCTGCAGTAGCAATTGGACAGGCAGAACTAGTTAAGCTGCTGTGATTGCAACAAAGAAATAAGCCAAAATAGTAAGCATGTTTTTTGCCCCTCTGATACACCGTAGACATTCAGACATGGTACTATCAGTTGACAGTACTCCTGGTGTGCACTGACACTTAAGTTTAGACTATATCTGGTAGGATGCAGGGGGCCCTGGGATGGTCAGAGGCTATTATATTTCCACAAGCAAGGCTTACATTATACATTTTTGTAAGCAGGCCTTTTAAATCTTATTCCCTTAAAGTTACAAAGAAGTTTGCAGCTGTTTTAGCATCAATTCTATCACGAGTTCTCCTGCAGAAAGAACGTTTTAAACTGATACAGCCTGTCTCTCAACAAGTGCCACATCGATGGTTTGCCTCTTATGTCTGCACTGCGTTCATCTTTCTCACTGCATCTGTGTTTCTAGGTTGAAATGTTGCACATTTGCATTTTTTAATGGCATGAAAACACATTTTTCATTACATGGCATGCCAGAGTGGTTTACCAACAACAGTATGTTAACAGCTTATGCTTGTGGTGACATACATACATGTTTAGAAAATACAATAAATTGAAAAAACTGCACTTTTGTATTTCAGTATGCTTCTCTGCACACTTGCCGTACTCCCTCAGAATATTTAGTTTTTTTTTACAGCCTTTAGCTAATTAGGTTGCTGACCTGTTGTTGGAGTTCCCATGAAATGATAAATGAAAAAATGTCATTATTCATGCTTCCTGGGAAACACTGGACTCTCTCCTCTGCCTACCACCAGGGCACCAACAAGCTAACACCTGTGGGTGGTGGGGTTGGAGTTAGAGGGGAATCTGAGCAGGAGGCAAATAGTAATCAAAGACTGTGGTATGGGGGTAGGAATACACCAGCAGTGCGGGCAACCCTTCTGAAAGGGATGACATCAAGATTATTTTTGCATACTTTGCGCCTTTGCTGAAGTTTTGAGTCATGTTTAGGTAAAGTACAGCCAGCCTATGTTTAATTAGGCAAAACAATGTGGCTCTTGTATTGCACCCATCATGCAACAAATGTACATTTCTTCCCAATATGTCATTGGTTGACACTTGAGCCTCTCTGTATTATGTCCCATCCTGTTTTAATAGGAAATACGTCAGATTAAGGAGGTGCTATGTCATTGGGCCTCAAAGCACTGGCTGATAATAGTAATTATAGTTCATGATAGACTGTGAATCACAGAACCCTGCATGAATGTTTTGTGTCAGCATTGTCTGGAAGTTTCTTCCCCTGAGGTTTAGTGAGGTCAAAGAGGGTCTAGTAAAGGGTAGCGGAATGTCACTCGTGAAGCTTTCATCCTCTTAGCAGCCCCTCACCCACATTAGCAGAGTGTTTGATAACCAGCTAACTACATAAGACCCCTCTTGATAAACTCTGGTTATAAAGAGAGAAACAGTTGAAGAGAAGTAGATGAATCCAAAGGAGGCATTTTGTGTAAAAAGGGACTTTTTACGTATCTAGTAGCCAGGCTTTCCTTGTCATAGAGTGAGTAAGGGTTGGCAGAATAGAGCCTGTAGGCCATTTTTGGGGACATCCCTCTCTCACCCTTCTCCTCTCTGGTCAAGAATGTTCCTTGCAATGTTGTTCCTTTGTTGCTGTCCTTGTTACAAGCAAACACACAATATGAAGCCTTTTCTTTACAACAGAACTTGTATTAAAAAATACAAGTTCTTTTTAAATCTAGTTTTATTCTTTTCTTTTCATTTTCTACTTTATTTGAATTTTGCTTATTCATTTTCTCCCCTAGCTCAGACCACTACTTAATGATGTAAGCTTATATGCATTGTTGATATGTAAATTCAGAAAATAAAATAAAATCTGATTATTAAAAAAAAAAAATACAAGTTCAACATCATGGTCCATCAAAAAGAGACCATCAAAAAGAATAGGTTAAACAAATCTTGGCTGCTATTATTCTATCTTATAGGGGCAGCTTGTGGCTGCAGGAGGCCGGAGCATCTTGTTGACACAGCTGGTAAAGAGGCTGAGTGAAAGTGAAAGTGGAGAGGAAAATGCAATGTTTTCTTGGACTCTAACAATCCCATCCGCATGTAGACTTTGTATAACTCCTGTCAGATACTAAGAAAGCTAGTTTTACATTTGTTGACATTGCAATGTTCAAACGCGTAACAACATGTGTTTGGGTTCATGTACATTGAGGATTAGAGTTGAAGAGTGACGTTAGGGAGAGGTCTTTTGAATGGTAAATTTAAGGAAACTTGATACATTAATGTCTTGCTCAAGGTCCTGTTAAAAGAGTATTTCTTGTTTTCGTCGAGTTTCCTACTGCTTGTGGATTCGGACCCATGATCTAAACTTTATGCCACCACTGCCCACTTTTTAGTCCAGTCACAGGCATTTGTTTTGTCTACACAGACGCAGTCAGCCTCGGTAACCTTGTTCCCGCTGTGTGAGCATGTGCTGCTGTTGATAATTGGGACCTTTTTAAACCTCACCTTCACTGTTGTTTACTGCTGTGACGCAGCTGATCTTGTACTATTTTCTCAGCCTTTTCCCAGATAGCATGCTCTTGGAGAGGCTGCGACTTCAGTCATTTTGAATAGGAGGGCACAAGTTGATTCTTGCTCTGTGTAATTACAAGTGGAGCTTCCAGTTTGGTTTATTTCCATATAAATTAAGTAGGAAACCTTTAATGGAAACCTTTTGAAACTATTATGTGCTTTAGCATTTGAACCGTCCTGATCTGTTGGTACAGGCAGAGTCATCCATTCTACATATCAGGTCAGGGTTAGGTAGGACAGAGGAGGAGGCTGCTGAGGTGGAAGGAGGGAGGGAGGAAGGAAGGGATTGTGGATGAATGCACACCCATTTTCCATTGTTTGTTGTTCACTCCTCCTCAACATCTAATGACTAAATTGTTTGTACATTAAACAGTAAGGCAACCAGTCTACCTACACAGATGTGCGATTATGTGTGTGAGGCAATCTTCTGTTTAAACGTGTTGAGGCTGGAGCTCTGTGTCATGTTACATGCTGAGAACAGTGTTTGAAGGTGGTGGAACTGTCAGCTGTTTTCAGGTGTATTCTCACAGCAATCTGCATCCGATTTTACAGGATACAGGATTTTTTTTAGATTCACCTCGTCAGCTTAACCCTGTCTGTTGTTTATACCCACAGGATTTAATAAACAAATTCCTAAAAGTATAAAATAAGTCAGGCTGAACTATTGGGAAATGTCTATAAAGTGAGACATAGTGAGAAATAAAGTGGGAAATTAAGAATAATTACATATTTATATCAATGGTGTTCTCAAAAAATATGATATTCTTTGCATTTGAACATTTCACTCGTCATCTATCAGCAGTGAGGAGAAAAAGTGTGTTTTATTCTGTATGTTGTATGCATTAAAACGTTTTGTTGGAATCAAGTTTTGTTTTCATGATATATTTTATCTCCCTGTCCTAGATTTAATGATGAACTCCACCAAGGAATGTCAAATACTCGAGGAATTAAATTGAAAGATAGAGAAGCTCTAGAAAACCAGTGTGCTTCAAAACCCTTGTGATATATGATGCCACAATAGAGAAGGAACAGTATTATATTATGTGCACTATGCCCATAACACACAGTTAAGGTCACCAA